TTTTCAATTAATTTCCGTATATTTCGTGCAACAATTTTAAAGCAAGTGAGATTAATTACGTATGGCAAACACGGCAAATTTCTGGTTGCAAAGTGTGGAATACATTTGTTCTGACTAAAGCAACATTTAATTTAATAATCTCTGTAGTTTTTGTGAAGCTGAGAGTAGCGCAGAACACATTTATAAACTGTACGGTACCTTCAGTCACCGAATTCCATTCTGAGTAAGTTTAGTTCCTTTCGACACCCCATTGTACTACTACGTTTGACAAATTTCAGACTTTACCCTCACATGCAGAGGCTGGACACCATGCTTAAATTTTTGTTCAAGAATTTGAACACATTATTCGTATCCATTGCCCAAATTTAATATACTTTGGCATGTTACATTTAAATCCTTGGTCTATCGTCCTTACATTTATTACACATTTTAAAGACTATTCAGTGTAGAAGGCTTATCCAAAATGTACCTTATTTTTTCTAAAATATACGAGCCCCATTATAGAGTCTAATTTAGCAACTGCTACATAGGCACGCATTCTGCTTGGATCTGTTCTGACTCTCTGAAGGAAACGTCAAATACTCCTTAAAATGGCACGTTCTTAAATACAAACCAGCCATTTCTATTTTCTGATACAAAACGCATCACTAGTAATTTTTACCTTTTAAAATATAAAGGAATTCAAATTTTTGTGGTGAACAACTTTAGCGTTATTTTGTTTCGGGTATAATTTAAACGGGATCATCCCACACGAATTAGCTACGTTTATTTTTCTTAATAAACCTACTTAAATCTGTAAAGTTTTCGTTCAAGGTTCTGGATTTTGGATGCAATAAAACTGCATTTTACTAGTCTACGTGTCCCGAAAGCTTTTCGTTTTGCGTAGAAGCTACTGGTTTCCATCCCAGTTCTGTCAAATGTGAATCGTACACGTTTTACGAATGAGTTCTTCTGAGGTATTTGACGAAATGTTTGTACCTAGTGCAGTCTGAACCTCAGCGTAGTATATCAAATCATTTCCTACTGCAACGACAATTTGACTGTAAATCTTATGATTGTAGTGAAGTAGTTTTCGATGAAATTTGCAATTGCCCAATTATCTGTTCCGGATAATTCTTATATTGAATTCTACAGTACGCTATAATAATCCGCTGATATACGCCGAATTAGATAATTTGAGCTGCGAACGGTTATTATTTGCAACATAATTTAACCAGTTTAGTCAGTATTTAGAAAACGCTTCCTTATTCGACTGGTCTGAACTACTTTACGAAAATACTACTTTTAAGTTGATTTTACAATTATTATAATAATTAAAGTCTGTGTAGGAATTCTACCGTTTTATAAAACTCAATTATTCTTAACTTACAATACTCAGTCGGTTGTACTGAATTAGCGAATACAAATTTATTGCTTTAATTTTTTTTAGAAATTCTCTTCTACTGTTAAATATTGTCGCTGCTAGAAATCTTCGCAAAATTAAGAATCCTAACAAATTAACTTTTAAAAACTTCCTTCAAAACTAATAAATTGATGAAACCATCATTTTGCAAAAACATAATTTTACTGCAATTTACACTTTCACTACCACAGAACCGCACAAGAAGACGTCCCGATTTCAACTGAAAGAATTCGGCCTATGGCCGGAATATCCAACCTGTACGCTTTACTTTCGTTTACGTCATACCCTATTGACCAATATGTGTACTATTATTATTTGAGATGTGGCATATATTTGATATTTATTAGTTGTTCTTGTGTCTTTTACCACTAATTGTATCAATTTAAAATTTATACTAAAATTCATAAACTTCTTTCTGTTTATTTCTTTTTTTTAAATTATTTCTGTGATATTGGAATGTTTTATGTTTCTGGGAAAGATAACAGATCGCGCTGGAAACGAATTCTGTATCAACCGGTTCTTTTTTCCACAAGAACATGAATCAGAAGTTTTCAAGATGCCCTCCAACTTTTAACTATTCGAGCTCACGCGTTCACGATGTCCGATGTTTTAAATTTAAGAGCTCAGACATTCTTACACACAGGTGAATATTAAAGGTAAATTATAAGTGTGTGGACTAGACAGGGTGTAAGAGGGGGCACTTGTGAAAGTGGTTATAGACATAGACGTTACACGAAAGACGGAAATTTCCTGATCAACTGAGTTGTTATTAGCTTCTTCAGAAATACTCTAGTCCATTAACCAGCTGATTTTCGTAATGGTGAGGTGTAGTGTTTTCTTCGCGGTACGGACTGAATTCATAAATAATATTTAGACGATCTTCGGCTTCAAAGGGTTAAGTTACATATGGGCCTAAAGTACTGTGTGCAATGCATAAGTATCGGTGTTGAGTAAACTTTATTAGTTTAAAACAAAGACATTTTCTGGGGGGAAAACTTTCACAGCGGCCACATGAACGAAGATGATTAATTATGTCTTAGTCCACTTAAAGTTAATATTAATGCACATGGTGTCGAATAAATTGGGAATATGAATATGATTGATGAGTAGGTAAGAATTTAGAAAGAGGCGGTGATAATATATCTAGATGTATTATCCGTAAGGGAATGTACGTAAAAGGCATGGTAACTTACGTATCCAAAACCCATGGAACACATTTATACCACTCTTGCCTCAGACTCCTCAACAATCATTTTATATAATAAAGCTATTTATTTGTACTCGCATGTAACTAACTGTCTGTGTTGAGTTTAACAACACTCTACTTGTTCGTTCATCTCGTAATGTGTTTTTTAATATGTTTGCATAAGGCAAGATGGTGGTATGTTTGAATTGTGGGAAGGTACCCGAGTGTCATCAGTCAAATCTGTCTCCTGCTTAATTTCTTAATGGGAAGTGTTGAAACATAGCCGCGCGAATGTAGAAAGTTATGCAACATTTCAGAAAACGGGTACGTAGTCTGTATGTCGGTGTTAGGATCCCGAAGAAAGTTTTTGGGTTCGCTAAAGAAAAGTAAGCAGATATTCGATTTGAAAATATGACCCTGTTGTGGGTCTAACTTTTATGTGTCATAATTTTTTTAAATACAAATAAAAAATTAGTGTACACAGCAAGCGATAGGGAAATGAGAAAAGAAGTCGATGTTGGTTTTGTGGATTGTAACGTCATATAGACTTGTAGCTGGATGGAGGAACATACTGCCTGTATTTGTAGGGCATTAGCGTTACAATCCAGCAGAATATCATCGACGTATTCACCACTGTGAAGACCTCCGATCTCATGTGATGTAAGAATATTTTGAAGTTTTATAAGTACATAGGCAAAAATAACACTTTTCGCCTCTGTTATGTACTTATATAATTCACTTTCTCCGCTTTTAACATTGTTGACTTTACTGAACGTCTATAGAAGATACTAGTTCAATATTTCCTCATCTTTTACCGTAGAATATATTCTCGCCTTCTACACAGAGCTCAGGAAAATCAGAGAAGCAAATCAAAAGAAACTGCTTCTGATGAACTGATCACACCAAAAACATCGCGTCTCGTTTGCACTTTGGAATGGGACGAGGGCACCGACAAAACGGAAAGCAGAACGATAATAAGAAAGAGATGCAAACAAGGAGAGACACGAAGGATGAGGGACTGAAAGAAGCCAGCAGTCAAATGAGAAATAAAGAAAGGAACAGAATAAGAATATATGAAGCCCCCCCCCCCCCCCAAAAAAAAAAAAAAGTGGAAAGAATGACGGTGAAAATAAATCTTAAAACTTTGCATACCGTGTAGTATATTAGAATATAAAATAAGCAAACAAACAAACTATTAACAATATAAATGACACTAGTGTCATTTATAGTGTTAATAGTATGGTGAAAAGAAAGTATGATAGGAAGAAATAAAAGGAGAAATAAGCAAATAAACAAAGAAGGAAATAGACAGTAATAAATCAGACTAAAGAAGAAATACGTTAGGAAAGAAATGCAACAGGACAGAAATGATGAAAAACAAAGAAAATTAAGACAGAAACACTGAAACAAATAACGAGAAGAATAAATAAGTAATTAGTGAAGAGATTGAAGAGATGATAATGTTGTGTCATATTGTGATAAATATATATTTGTTAAAATCTTGTCAGTATGATCACAATAAAATTCCTATTAAATATTAAAATATTACTATAATTAACATTTAAATATCAAATGATGATCTCTTCCAATACGATATTAAAATACAATAAAATCTGGAAGAGATTATCATTTGATATCCGATAAACATCTGGCTAAAAGTTGCATTTAAGAAATTATAATTATATTTAAGTTTATATAATTTTATACACCTGAAGATGGTTCATTTAGAACTGAAACATGTCGTGTAAAAAGTGATGTTCTAATGTAAATCGAACATTTCGATAGAGAACATCATTTTAATATATTTTAAATATTTAAATGTTAATTATAGTAATATTTTAATATTTTAATATTTAATAGGAATTTTATTGTGATCAGACTGACAAGATTTAAACAAATAGAAGAGATTTAAGTACGGAAAAAAGTAAAATGATAGCAGATGATATTGAAAACTGAAGGAAGGAGGGAAGACGAAAAACAAGTGTGAAAGGAAGACCGAAGAAACGATGGCTGGTTATACGTAGATAAAGAAGGGGATCACTACAGGAAGCTTTATTAGATCTTGAAATTGCGAATCCATGAAACGAAAATACTATAGAGTCGTGTCGTCGTGACAGCTTGTTCTCATTTGCATGCCTCGCCAGAGCAGACTTCGATGCGATCATCCGGGGATTGGATCTGCCACGGCCTTCATTCATCTCGTGTTCAAATATGTAAAAGTTGCACGTGTTCGATAGCGAGGGCTTATTTGTTCTGGTTTATATGCGTAGGTCGTCTTTAAACGTCATACAGACGTAGGCTACATTAATTATTCTTAGGACTACGTTCTTCCGTGTAAAAGGAAGTCGGGGTTATAATATGCATGCTAGTGGAAATTAAGCTCAGAAATTTTCAATTATCTTTTTGTTTTAGTTTTCTTCGCCACAGCGTCCAGACCACCTCTGCGGCCATCCAGTGTCCTCTCCAATGGGCAACGAGGATATTTCCTTGGAGGTAAATCGGCCCGACAGTAAAGCTTACCACTTTTTTATTACCATCTGCACACCGTTCTGTTTTCAAATATTGATTTTTTATCTTCATAGGAACACGTTGTACATTAATGCCATCTCTGCGCCATGCTTCTGTTACTTAATTGAAGTAATTCAATGCGCAAACTTTTAATTTTTGTAAAATATTTCAAATGGATTTACTAATGTTTGTATCTTGCACATTTAAAATGTTTCTTACGTAAATGTATGAATTAACACTTAGTGAACTATATTAGTTCAGTCATAGAAGTATGGTTGGAAGGTGACATATTAATATGGAAACATGTCGCCATTAATATGGAAATAATTAATCATTGAAAACAAAGAATTGCGTACGTGGTAATAATCAATAATATTGTAGACAAATCACAACCGGAATTCTATAATACAAGATTATGGAGCTAAACACTCATTTCCTCTTGGTACGAATATGTTAAGAATACATGGCGTTATATCTCCACTCTCCCATACGTCTGACGTGGTACTCATTTAAGTAACATTGGCAGCTTTACCTTATACCTCGTCTATCTTTGTAGATGTTTCTAGCTTTCCATTAGATGTTTATTAGCATTTCTTGGTTTTTCTGTCTCCCTAAATATACAGAATGTTCCCTGAACTTGTACACATAGCATTGGTGGTCATATTGAACAGCTGCACTAGATTCACTAATCCTTTAAGTGCTGACGTATGTAATGGTTTAGTTGATTAAAATATGTATATCTTATGGGAGCCACATATTTGTGTTGCGTACTGCTTTTAGTAACTGTATCTACAGTACGCGTTGTCTTTTGCCTGCGATCCACCGGTTTAGAACTCAGCACTAACGACCCTTTGCACGTGTAACACCCACGTTATAGTCCACGTTTTATCAGTAAGACTCGGTTCATCGTGACGGTAAATTTATGTGCCCATGAAGCTGCATCGACCCACAGAAAGCCGTTTTCAATACAAACTTCGATAAACTGAAGGCAAAAATACAAACCTTAGTGAAATAGTGGTTCGTTCGCCCCATTCAGTACAAACACCCTACCACAAAATGTTTTCAAGCGTTGTTCATGTTCGCTCAGTTGCGCATAGAACCCAGGAAATTATTAAGGACGAAAGTGGAGTAAGTTTCTGTTTAAAGTGAGCGTACAATTCCCATTGGGTCTGCCGCACAAACACTGATACATCGCTTTTACCGTATTTCTTGTAAATGCGTGTTATGTGCCAGTCAATTCCTCGAGCACTATTACTCTTTATAGTCGGTTACAATGCGCGACCTCTCCTAGATCCCGTATTGATGACATCGATTAAGTTAACGTGGGTAATGCTGTACTCGTGTATACTCGGAAGGTATCCAATTCGATTATCGACATGTTAGAGGCTTGTTGATTGTGGACCTCTTGTCGCTTACATCAGTGTTTAAGATAAATCCTGTAATAATACCGTGAAACAGACCACAGGCGCCTGCTTTTTGATACTTACCGACACACCATATGAACAACCGTGTTATATCATCCAACGCAACGCAACGCAACGCAACGCAACGCAACGCTACGCAACGCAACTTTTGTAGTTCAGAGACCGTCATTAAATGTCATTGCTCCCGTTGGTTTATTTTACAACGATTTTATTAACGTCATAACTTATGCGGCGTTTAATAAGATCATTAAATTATATTTATGAATGTCGAAACGGGCCGGATGTGGAAGGAAACTGCCGTTGTCCATTTTAAGACATTATTCTAGTATATGTATGGAGGCGCTGAGTGAAACCACGTAAAATTTCAGTCGAGGTGGTCTTTATTCCGGCTAAGATTTGAATCGCTGTAACGCGAATTTTGGCACAAAAGGTATTAATGTCGTAGATGGTCATGGGATCGATTCCCGAATGTGCCTGATAGTATAATGATAGCTTGATACAGTACCATTCAGCTTCTCACGTGACCCGGAAGGCGACTTGGAGGTGTCACTTTAATGGCAGTAATAAATATCAATATTAAAAAGGAGGTCACTGACCTGTAAGCAACGGGGTGTCATAAACCAGAGTGATCGCCAATGGGTCACTGAGAACTGTGCCCTACGGCGTGTCTTCTGCGCCACAGAACAGTACAAGAACTTTATTTTATTTTTAATTACGTTTTCTTTCGTATTTTTTGCCAACCACCACAAAACGATGTTAAAGATACGAAAGGGGGAAAACAAGGAAATTAATGGAATAACAAGTACCAGAAACGACAAAGTGCCTGAATTGCGCGTCGCGAAAGGCGTTTCTAGACCAACGAGAAGCTGAGAGATAGAGAGAGAACAACAATTTGAGCGACCGTCACAAAAGTTCTGCTAAGATTTGTTGTGTCCCTGCATTTCGTCGAGACCCGAACGTCCCAGGACCCAGCACCAAAGGCAGCTTAAAACCCACACTTCAGCTGTAACTGCCGATATTAGTTTCATTGGAATCCTCTTTGTGCCCCATCGATTTTGTCTTATCGTGGACTTATTTCGCTTTGATCGGAATCCACTTCTCGCAGTCTATTCCTTTCTGCTCGTGACTTGAGACAGGAACAGAGAAACTTCTAGCAACGAGTTATTGATGATTCTGTAAGAACAAGCACAGCGTAAAGAACGCAAGAAGACAGTTCCCAAGTTGGCCAGTCTCACCGCCCACATCAAGTTTTAAACAAACTTGAGTATCAGTAACAATAATTTGAGACACTTTACATGTACTCTTCCTTATGGAAACAGAAATTGTTTCCTGAGCGGATAGCATTTGGTGCTAAAAGGTACAGGAATTCGTCATTTGCAGGATTTTGAAATACAAGATGAAATATTTAATTTACATTTAAAATATTACTTCTTTAATTTACTAATGGTATTCATCAAAATACGTCTGAACATTGTTCCATAGGCATTAACTAAGTGGGGTCGACGTTTCGGGAGGTTACTCTGGACGACGTGGAATATGGTCATTAATAATTCGTTGGTCAGACACTGTGATTTCCATTAAACTGTGAGATAATCATTCCATAGGATTATCTTCTGATTGTGTAATACCGTATAGTCTTGTATGTGCTTACCGACGTTTCGGAGACAATTTCCGCTTCCATCTCCAGGGTATAGATTGGAAGTGAAAAGGATGTATTAGTAGGGTCGGAGAATCGGGTAAAGGAGAACATAACAATACATGGCTCAGGGCGCGTTGTTTTAGTGTAACAGCCCAGAAGACCAAAATCTGAATATTTGTCGCCGTGAACCTCTTGAATACCATAAGGCATTCCAGTGTAAAACCTGTTCTACGCTTTCATAAACGTGTGCATCAGCAGAACTCTCGCCTTTTTTGCGCTAGTGTACCGTGTAGTCTGATACATATTGAACCATATTTCAGGGGTACTTACTGTCTCCATAATCAGGGTATTGATTGTTATTTGTGTCAATTTCCTGTAAAAAACTTTGATAGGCTGGTATTGTTTACAGATGTGTCGCAACAGCAGAAAGTTTTATTCCACTTGTATTTTTACACGAGTTCTATTCTGTTTATGGGCACATACTGCATTGTCCTTGATGCTGATTTGGGATGATTCATATCTGTTATTACAGAGCTGCTGACACGTCCATAGACTGCGATTCAGTAATAATTACTATTTTTGAAAAAGCCAATAAGCAGCGTACATACCGCACTGCACGAATATACAAATTATATGTCTTTGTATTTAGTTGACTACAATCCAGAAATAGAATATTTGTATGCGATCTACGAATTTGTCTTTCGTACGATGATTTTGTTTAGAACATTAGGATTGTGTTTAGCCGATAGGCTAAAGTAAAATTCTCTAACTTTCGTTATAGTTAGAACATTAGGATTGTGTTTAGCCGACAGGCCAAAGTAAAATTCTTTAACTTTCGTTATATTGCAATTCCAAAATATTAAGTTTAATTAAAAATTTGTGAAGAAAATTCGAACATGAAAGAAGTGAATAGGCATACGTTTATTTTAATTCGTAGTGAAAGTTTTTAAAGTAGCGTAGTCACTCCACACACTTTTACTGCACATTTGCCTTTTCGTCTATCCTTTTCTGGGGCTCACGATCCGATATTAAGGTTACAAAGAAAATTCGAACATGAAAGAAGTGAATAGGCATACGTTTATTTTAATTCGTAGTGAGAGTTTTTAAAGTAGCGTAGTCACTCCACACACTTTTACTGCACATTTGCCTTTTCGTCTATCCTTTTCTGGGGCTCACGATCCGATATTAAGGTTACAGTTATGTGTAAGGTGCTTGCTGCCTCCATCATCAGGGCGATGAATGTACCAAGCCCATTCCACTCAATTGGCACATTCATCGCCTTGATGACGGAGGCAGTATGACCTCCGAAACGTTGGTAAACATCGACCATACTACACAGCGCAACAACCCAGAAGACAGAAATCTTCATACTCTGCTGATGGAGGCAGTATGACCTCTGAAACGTTGGTAAACATCGACCAGACTACACAGCGCAACAACCCAGAAGACAGAAAATTTCGACATTAATTTTGTTTAAGATTTATGTTAGATTGTAATTTGCCTACGCGATGTGGCGGATTATAGTCTCGGACTTCTTATTTCAGCATGTGAACGTCTCCTTGACATGTTTATACAGCGAACGGTACTCCATATCCCCGAGTTGCTTTAATGTCTTCTGACCCGCATTGAAATGCGACGTTTCATCGCATTCAGCCTGCATATGACATTATTATTTTGAGTATTCACGTGTCATACAGTTTTTTTTATAATTTTCCAGCGTCTCCCGCTGTTTGTGGTTAAAAATTTGTAAACGTAAATTGTTTTCTTTAGTATATTTACGCACAAACTAATGTAAATGAATTACTTTGAACTTCAATTTAGTTCAACCTTTAACTCAAGTTCTTTATTAATAAGTAATAAAAATTAAATTTTAAAAATTCCAACTTTTACGGATTTATCAGCAATAATTCTTCAAGAGTAGG